TGATATCGAAATAATCTGTGACCAATTAATTTGATAATATGTGACTAATAAAGTTGTGACCTATAATTATGTATATGTGATCATTAATTATATATTATTACATTTAATTAATAAAAATATTTTTAATTTATAAATAAATACCCGTTTTTTATATTTTTAAACTTAAAACCTGATTTTTACATTTGTGAAACTTAAAGTCCGATTTATGAATTTTTTTTTTTTCCTCTTTTTATTTCTTTACATTAGGCTTTTCATTTGGGCTGGGGGCAGGGCTGGACTATAGCTCAGGCCCGTCCCCATCACATCAGCCTTTGAGTCGAATACGGAACATACATATTTGTACATTTTTAAAAATTTAAAGTAAAATAATAATACGAATTACTAATAAAAAAGTGATGAGTAAACACGAGAAATTAGGTCATTTGATCATAAAGTAGGGATGGAAACATCGCGATTATCAATCATGTCATAACATGGGAAGGCTGGAAATTTACATGACCCTAGGCCTAGCCAGATGACCTTTATCCTATGTCTGTCTGAGAATAACACCTAGAGAAACAGTTTCACGTTACTCGGAATTTCTTGGTAAAAGTAAACAATTATAATCAAAATTGCTACTTACAAAGTTTATTTATTACAATCGTGCTACAAGTCAGGTTCTAAAAGACGCGCAAATGCGTCGTCTAAGCACGCCTAGACGCGACACGGGCCGTAAATGCGTCGAATTCAAGAAATGCGGAAAAAATGAGTTTCCATCTAAAAGGTGCGCCTAGGCGTGCACAATGCTCGCATAATCTAATTCCTCCCCCCTTTTTTAAAATTTATTTTTTTATGATATATTAAAATTTTTATTTTTTTTATATAAAAATATATTTAATGCCTTAAAAATACGAAACGCATTATGACACTTATTCTTCGCATGACACGCCTAAACTTGTGATTCTTGATTCTCGAGCTCGACGCATCACAACGCATTACGTATTTTAGAATACTGGCTACAAGTACATTTTATTTTTGATATTGTACCACGTATCGACACAAGATTGGACAATTTTAAAAAATCACACTTTTTCATTCAACATTTTTTGAATCTCCACACAATGTAAAGAAAGACATCATCTATGGAATGTACACTTAGCATAATTCTATTTATTAAAAACACAACTGTGTCTCGCGCCAAACAAAAATTCTGCTTTTAAAGTCCCAAAAGTCTAGGCCTCTAAATTAATTATGATATTAAAATTTCTGATTTTGTAATTAACTTGAGTATAGATTGTGGTTTTGTAGGAAGATAAACACAAAGGGATGTGCTCGGTGCTCCTCCTAATTTTTGATATGCTATTCTTGAACAAGTAAGCTCCCGTTTGTCTATTATTATTCCAAAAAATTATTTGTTACAGTAAGATTTTCAATCACACATTCACCCAATAAAATATTCTACACACAAATCAATAAAGTTACTTTACTTTTCAACTACACATTCTCTAAAAAAATACTATCCAATCTTCAACAGAAGCTGCAGTGGAAAATTTTGACCCTGTAGTGTTGTTCGGGCAGGCAGGTGAGGCAACCAGCCTAATTGAACATATATAAATTGACGAACAATGCTGGGGTGCCGGAGAGAGTTATTGTCAAAAGATTTTTTTTTTCGTCAGCACGGGTAAAAAAATCCTCTATGCAGGGAATAATTCTTCAAGCTTATAATAGAGGACAGAATTTGAGGTCTGAAGTGGTGTTCATTTTCGAAGTCCAAACTTCATTTCAATGAAGTAGACCAATTTTGTATGATAATAACTTAGATAAGACTGATTTTTTTGCTTGAGATGGGATTTACGTTTCAGTTGGAGATGTGTTGGTAGCATTTGTATGATGCTCGTGAAAAAAGCCCTAGACGCAAGGACTAATTTTTCAAACTTATAATAGAGGACACGATTTGAGGTCTGAACTTTTGTTTATTTTCAAAGTCCCAAACTTCATTTCAATGAAGGCGACCAATTTTATATGATAATAACTTAGACAAGACCGACTTTTGCTTGAGATGGGATTTACATTTTCAGCTCTCTCTCTCTCTCTCTCTCTCCAGCGTTTTCAATTCCTGATTTATAGTGAAAATGCAGAAAATTTTGAGGCTAAGAGCATCTTCAACCCATTTTCATCGCACCATAATTCACCAAACTGCACCAAATATTGGGTGGAAATCTCCTCCAACCGATTGCACCATTTTGCACCAAAAATGGTTAAATACCTTTTTACCTTTCTATTCCATTTTGCACCAATTTTTGTTAAAGATATATTTGTCCATTTTGTTATAAAAAAAATTTTAATTATAAATTTAATTATATTACTATTACTATTACTATTACTACTACTATTAAGGGGATTATATTATTAAAATGAAGAAAATTATTAACCACTATTTATTTGTTGGGAGGTGGGATGGAGATGGCGCAAAGATTTTTACATTTAAAATATACATATCTTTATCTTTTCACCTGCTTATGAGTCATGACTGATGCTATCTTTGGTTCTATTTCCAAAGCTCATAGACAGACAGTCTGCAGGCAACTGTCTTGTCTCCACTTGCAATTGAAATTGAATCCACCATGTATAGGGTCCACACAAGTCCCTTGCAAAAGCTTTTCCAAAACAAACAAACCCTGTCTGTGTGTGTGTCTCTGTATCTAACTGTTTCTCCATGGACTTCAATCTGAAGCAATGGAGAGACCAGCAGCATGAGTCAGAAGAACAACAACAACGACAAACTTCTGCAAAACTACCAAGACTTCTCCTTAACTCTCATCCTCAGCAACCACCTGGTCCTGCTGTCCCATTGCTCGTACCTAATCCTTCCGGCAACTACTCTTCTGATTCAACCACACGCTCTGCCAACAAACCTCCATGTATTATTCTCTCTCTCATCTATGGAAATTCAAGTTAAGTTTCTGAGTTTTTTTGTTTTTTTTTTAGCTTACAAGTTTTTTTTTTTTCTTTTGGGATATCATTGTCAGGGATGGGAAGTTACTTCAGCTTGGCCCAGTGGCAAGATCTTGAACTGCAGGCATTGATCTTCAAACATATGATAGCTGGTTCTGCTGTTCCGTCTGAGCTACTCCATCTTGTCATCAAAAGCTTCATCAATTCTCCTCCTCCTCCATATCACCATCCTCTTCATCACTACTATCCCCATTATCAGCCAGGTTGTAAGTTTTTAGTGCTTTTCTCACTCCAGCTTATTCTTTCTTTATCTGCACTAATATAAGGGTGTGTTTGAACCACATTATTTTGGAAGAATTATTTTGAAATAGTAGATTGAAGGAAAATGTATGGTTGAAAAATAAGAAAAAATTATTGATGGGACGGAAAATATTATTTTATTGAAAAATGTGTGATTAGAAGTAAGTAGAAGAATGAGAATAAAAATTTTAATGTGTACCAAACAAGGGCTAAGTAGCAGTAAATAAGCTTAATTTGATTCTTTCTCTTGTCTCAGCCTAATGGTACCACACTCCATATTTGGGGCGTGTTCGGTAGAGATTAAAATCGGATTAAAATTGAAAAATTAGCCATTATAGTTGATTTTTATTAGACGAGTGAGACTCAATAATGATTATATTTTCAATTTTAATTTGATTTTGAGTTGTATCAAACAAGTTCTTGTATTAGGTCACAGTAATATCCTGTCATGAATTTACTTTTTGAATAGGGTTTTGCTTGAAGTACAGAACCCTCACCGAACACACAAAAAAAAGGGTGGGGTGGGTATTTTTTAATGAGGGACCCGCTTCATGTGAGAGGCTCAGCTCTGCCAGGCCGCATAATTCTTTTGAATAATGTTATTCATCCTCATTAAGGTTGTAACCACATTCTATGTGGCTCTAAATGATAGGCAAAGTAAAAAGATAATTTCACCTATCTTTTAATGCCATATTAACGTCACCTAGACTGAGATTGTAACCCCAATGGGACGAAATAGCATTATTCTTAATTTTTACTTTTTCAGGGAAATATTTGTTCAGTTCATCTTTCTTGATGATGGTGAACTGAGATCACACTAATCTTTAGGGCATTTACTAGTATTAATGAAGTTACTTGATAAAAATGAATCTGAGTTCTTCAAGAATGTTGCTTGGCCTCTGGTCCTTGGAATATGCGAATTTGCATATTTAAAACATTTATGCAGCTTGGCATTCAAGACTGGAATAATTAATAAGCATTGCCAGAAACACTTTCATTTGCTTTAATGTGCTAAACTATGCATATCTATGGTGGATCAGCGCTGCAACCAGGGTACTGGGGAAAAGGGGCCATGGATCCGGAGCCGGGCAGATGTAGGAGGACTGACGGCAAGAAATGGCGGTGCTCGAGGGATGTAGTTGCCGGGCAGAAGTATTGCGACCGCCACGTCCACAGAAGCCGCAACCGTTCAAGAAAGCCTGCGGAAATCCCCACGTCCACCACCACTCCTTGCAGCAGCAAAGCAGGCAGCAATGGTTGTGTAGAAGTCCTCGAGACCCCTAACGCGGTTTCTAGGGCAGCAACAGGTGGTGGCGGCGCTATGCCTTTTTCTCTTTCTGAGCCTTCACCTTCCGTGGATCTTCTTCACTTTAATCAAAGGTATATAAGCTTTCTTCTGCTTAAAACTTGCTTTTGATCTATAATGAAAAGAAATGAACTAATTCTGTGTGTGTTTGAAATAGGACTTGAGATTAATCAATTCAAATAAGAATTATGCGATCAAGAACTAATCGTTCATTAGTTTATTGACTGCAACTACAGCCAAAATTGTGTATTTCATTTTGGATTTTTCAAACTTATTTTTTGGGGTTAGGGTGAGTCTTGTCCCCTAAAAGGAAGAATTTGAATGGAAACTTAATTTGGTGTGTTTGATGCACATTTTTTAGGAGAGAATGTATTTTTTTTTGTGATGTGATGGTGAATACGTGGTTGAAAAAGAAGGAAAAATTATTAATGTGATGGAAAATATTATTTTATTGAAAAATGTGTGAGTAGAAAAATGATAATGAAAATGAGAATGTGGCTCAAATCGGGCTCAATTATCTTTCCCATCAAAATGTTTCAATATTCTGAAACAGCATTTCCCATTACTCTTTTGTCTTTGCTGGATTGAGGTCCCCTAAATGAATTCACTTCATCCAGACATATCTTTGCCTAATGTGGGTCAATGACAACTGCAGGCCTTCAGAATCCATAATTGAGACAAAGGGTCCATTCAAAGCCCAAGACAACGGTGAACCCGGTGGCCAAACCCTTCGTCATTTCTTTGATGATTGGCCTAGATCACTTCAAGAAACTTACAATGCCACCAGCTCCGTGGCTTCAGCTACCAACTTGTCGATTTCAATGGGGATGGGAAACCCGTCATCAGATTTCTCATTGAAACTCAGTACTGGAGACGACTCTGGACCTCGAGTTATTAATGGCCAGAGGGATAGGATTCAATTGAATTGGGCTGCACCGTGGGGGACTAATCAGGCGGCTCCAATGGGCGGACCACTTGCTGAGGCACTGAGATCATCAACATCCAATTCACCCTTGCATCAATTGCCGCCACGTGCCTCGGCTTCGGTGGCCTCTAGCCATGTTGGCACCTGAATAATTTACCTGTATTGAAATTTATTGCCAAGATGTGTTCCAATGTCCGGTGCCTTTTCTGAGAGCCCCCTTTTTTCTCTTTTTTTCTCGTTGCAATTCCTTTCTTTTATTTTTCACATTGAATACTCTTACATGATGCTACAAATTGCATGGAGTCCGATTCTTTCATGGTTGAAGAAGATTATGTCTGAATATGTGCAGACCATAATGATCTTGTCAAGCCAGGCAGCGGATTATTGTACATGGATGCATTGGTAGGACTCAAGACGGATCCAGAGGGACAAACAGAAAAATAAAAAATTATACTAGGCTGATACATAAGTAGTGATTTCGTGACCATAGTTAATGAACATGATCATTTTCTTTTTTTCCCACAAAATAAACGATCTAGGAAGTAATCAGGCATCTTTGGTCCTAACGAAATAAAAGTAAAAAGACCATCTAAAAGAATCTATTTGATCCTTAGGATAGGTTTGAGAGATCTTTCAAGGTGGAAATTCGAGGCCAGTTTGATTTTTAAAAGAATTATTTATTTTTTTACAAGGTTAAAATTCTCAATACTGACATCAAAATTTGTTGAGATCAAACTATCAATAAATCTATGCAACCTTCTATTCAAGTGTTGAAGATCTGACCCACGTAGCATCGTTAGCTTGTAAAGGCGACCATCCAAAGGGACGGATGCCACTATTTTGTATTTCGACAGTCAAATTTGTTATGAGTAAGAATAAATACGCATGAGAAACGAAATGAATAGATATCTGGTTAAATGTTTAGCACCACTGGTGTTACGTCAGTTTAAGTGACACTAAGTGTCACTAAATAAAATTTATAATTAAATAAATCACATAATTTCACTTTAACTTGAATATATCACATAATGTCACAACTAGTACTAGATAGTATTATTCTTTTTTGAATGTTGCATTGAGTATTTATGTGAAAGATTTAGGTCAAGGGAATTTCTGAGTTATCTATGTTGACGTGATCAGTTTGTAATATGTGACTTGCATCGATCATCCATGTGAAACAAGGTAGTAATACACATGATTTCTTGATCCCGTGAGATACTCAAAGGGTGGAGTCAAAGTGCCTAAAGTTTTGAAACAATTTAAAATGTGTTTCGACTTCAATGAAAGTTAACTTCTTAGTCATCAAACTTATAAGAAAGTTTTATATCGATCACGAAATTTTTAGACCAATATAAAAATATCACCAAAAATCTCAATGACTCCCACAAAATGCTACAAATTCAATTTAAGGTTAGGTACATTTTCATAATGTGTTAATTATATTCACACCACAATTTGAATTTCTTTCCCCACATTTAATTGCACTCAAGGTTATTTCTTGTTGACGTTAAAGAGCGTAATGATCAATTTAAGTCAATTTTGAAAGCACAATAAAGAGAAACTCAAGATTTTCTTTGATATTCACTTCTCAATTACAAGTGTTTCATACAAAGAGATTTTTTAAAGATCCCCATCTCTTCTATTCATGTCCAAAGATAGCTCGCATCCTTTTGTAGGTAAAAAAAAAAAATCCAGTATACCAATGCCGAATGAAAAAGTACATTACTGGCATATTTCAATTGGTTGCTGAGGTTGGCTTATCAGGTTATCATGAGACCGTCCTTTAGGTGAGTTCATAGCAATTAATGAGCTAGTGGGTAAGCGAAGCTACATCATCCGATTGGTGAAAGAAGTGGGTGATGGCGTAAGTTCTAAATGCAACAATTAATTTGATTGAATGTTTTATCTAGGGTTGGGCAAAACTCTCGAACCGAACCGAACCATGTCCATGCCTAAATTAACTAATTTAGTGATTAATGTTCAAACTCCCAAACCAAGTTCATGCCTAGCTATCTCAGTCTAACCCAATTTCTAAATTCAATTTTTTTATTTAATGTTTTGGTCTTATTATTGAGTGGAAATTACATAATTCCAGGTGTTTGATGATTAGAATTCAAAAATCAAGGACCAAGTTTCATTATTCAAATATCGGGTATCTATAAATTAAACATTATCCACCCAATTTAATTACAAACCTTAATAATTTCAATTCTTTTCTCACTCTCTTATCTCAGTTTCTCTCTCACCTCTCTCTTGACCGCCGACTGTCTCACGGTGAGGATGGCGAAGGGGACGGCGCGAGGAAGGCCAAGCCCTATATCTATTTCCCCTTTCTTTTTCATCATTTCCCCCTCTCTCCACCGTCTCTCTTCTCCGCCGTCTCGCTTCAGCTGGAAGTAGTGGCTCAGTAGGTGGCAATTCCACCGACGCCAGTGGTTTTAAGAACTATAGGAACAGCAATGTGTCGGAGAAGAAGACTAGCACGTCTTATTGTTCATCGTCGCTATAGTAGCGGCGCTGCGCGAGACTCGGTGCTCCAGTCGTCGCTGGGATGGCGTTGTGTGAGCTGCTCTGCACGCTACGACGTGGATGTGGTGTTTCTTCCCTCCAATATGCCTGGTTCAAGCAATACCAATTCATTATAAATCATTCTGGGGATGGTTTTTGTTGCTTGTATTTGCAGTTCTTGGCAGGTGGTGTTGAGGTTGACGGTGCTCGTGAGATGGTGGTGGTATTGTGATCTAATTTGTTGGCGGGTATGTTGGTGCTGTTGTGGTGGTGGCGACGATGGAGGCGTGGTGAGGGTGGTCGAAAGTGGCCATAGTGGTAGTGGTGGTAGTCTGTGATCAAATGTTTGGTAATTTATGACCAATTACTCAACTGTGACCTAAAAATTTAATAATATGTGACTTAAAAATAATCAGTGACCAACTAATTTAAAAATTTGTGATCTCGAAATAATCTGTAACGTACAAAATTTTTGATCTGTGACCTCGAAATAATCTGTGATCAATTAATTTTAAAATATATGACCTGTGACCTATAATTATGTATATGTGACCATTAATTATATAACCGCGATCTTATTATATTTAATTAATAAATATTTTTAATTAATTAACTAAAACCGGATTTTTACATTAGTTAAACTTAAAACCTAATTTTTGAATTGTGTATAGTTAATCACTTACTTTTGAACTCTTCCCTATTATTAATTTCATTCTTAACCCAAGATCTAAATCTTTTTAAATTTTTTTATCCTTCTCTTTTCAATTTTACACTTTTATTTGGTACCAATGAGTGAATGACCCCAAATCATTTGATAAATTAAAAACTTACATCTACATGCCCAAATCGAAGCCGCGACCTCCTATCACGACCACCGATCGTTGACCATTAGAAATCTATTAAAAAATTTAATTATGGTACGGAACTGAACCCGAACGGTTCCATAATTATATTTGGACCCGACGGTTCTATTTATTAAATATTCAAAAATTTTGGTTTGATTTGATTCTCATCAGTCCGCCCTAATTTTATAGGTGTGTAAGGAATCTATAATCATTATATTCCCTTAAAGTACGACGTTACGAACTGACCTTATAAGGCCAATCTCATATTATGATATACTAGGCATATACAATAATCTATTTTTAATTAGGTCGCAGGTCGGATGTTAACATTACTCTTTGCTCATTATAACACTTATGTTCTTAACGATTTTTCATCATTCTTATTCTCAAACTTTTCATTAGTTAAAATATTTTGTATTTAATAATAATTTTATGTCCAAAAGTCCATTGAACTCGTAAACAACTTTTTCCATTGTATTTTTAATAAATAAATAAATGAGTGCAAAAAAATATTTTCCCATCATTTCATGAAAACAACTATTTTGATATAAATTATCATCAATGACGTCTATACTAATTAATGGAAGGTTGTAAATAAGAATTGGATGAAAGAAAATTAAGAAAATAATTACTATAATGAGTAAATATTGATGATTTAACTGTAATTAAAATGTGGCTTATCTAATAAAATTGTAGTGGCAATATAACCACCTTTTCATAATTTTTATTTTACTGAGGTATATGAAATTTTTAGTATTCTTTCCTAACTTCAAAAAGGGAAAAAAAGAAAATAATATAAGATAAAAATCTTTGCAGAGCATGAAAATTAAAATTTTGTTGTAAAAAAAATTAAAATTCATGATTGGGGAATTATGGTTTAGAGGCCTTGAAAAACAACTTTTTTCCTTTTAATTATAATTTCTTAAAGTATTAGGGAGGGGAAAGGAATTGGCAACAAAATAACATTGCCGTTATTTCACAATTCAGGGGTTGAGTTTATATGGAAAGAAGACCCAGCAAAATCTGGAGAACTTCAATTTGAAACTAAATTTTCAGAAAGATTAAGGAAACATACCATAAAGAAACTACACCAATCAAAAAAAATTCAAAATAGAACTAGATTTTATAAGGAATGTTTTGAATCACAGTCTAAAAGGGATTTGGAAAATACTGAATTCTTTGTGAATTGAAATCCAGATTTCACACGATCATATGATTTAATTCTTGTATAAATACTTGCATTCCTTCTCCACAACCCTGTATCGAAACATTCTTAGAAAAAAAAAGTTCAAGTTTTTTCAAATAATGCAGATATGTTTTCCAATTTTGCTAATCATCCAGGCAGAGAGACGCTTTCTAATGTGAATGCAACAAGGATAAACGAACCAGTTTGTCTATCCTTTCACTTAATGCCTTCTTGTGAATGCAAAGTTTCAGTCCCGTCAAAAAAAGACGATCATAATATTGAAACGTATAAAAAAGATTTGGCTGAAACAGGTAATTGCGGAAGGAATGATATTGAATTCATCGATTTTTTGTCTCGCGAGAACACTACTAAAAAGTATGGCGCATCTACTCAAGTTGAAGAATCCAACTCAGATGAAGAACTAGATGACCTTGAACTCAGATTTTGGAATCCAAAGCTTCCGAGAAGAAGGGTAATTGGGGTTGAAACAGATCCGTACGTTCAAGTTCAACCTCTGAATCCAATAACAGTTGAGGATGAAATATTACAGCAAGAGGATCCAATTGTAATGGGGAATGAAATAATTCCATACGTTCAAGTTCAACCTCCGAATCCAATAATAGTGGAGGATGAAATATTAGAACAGGAGGATCCAATAGTAATGTGGAATGAAATAATTCAATACGATCAAATTCAACCTCCGAATCCGGTAATAACGGAGGCTGAAATAATTCAACAGGTTCAGGTTGAAGATGAGGATCCTGATCATTGGAGAATCAAGAAAGTGTTGAAAAAAAGTGATGTTGATGGTTCCTCGAGACTCTTGATCGGAAGAAACCCAGTGTTGACACATATTGCACCTTTCTTTACAAACGATCCATATGAATTTTGCCAGAATAATGAGGGACTAAGGGTCAGAGTTTTTGATGTCAATACGCGTACAGAGCACATCCTGACGCTTAAAAAATGGAAGTCTAACAGTTTTGTACTGTTGGATAAATGGAAGAAACACTTTGTGAACAGGAGGAAACTCGAGGAGAACGATGAGGTGGGGCTTAGATGGGATGTTAACTCTTCAAGATTGGAATTTACTGTACTTAGAAGGCACCACCATGAGGAATGAGATTGACTTTTGTTGCAGATGATCAAGCTTGCATCTGTGAAACAAGATTCTGCAGTAGATGAACCAGGGTACCATACGGGTTTTAGAAATTGTTTTTTGTCACTTAATGTTTTGTTAGTTGTATCAAAGTTTTCTTAAGTTCTGATTATCCATGTAGTATGAATATTCACATTTATTGCTGATGAACATCAATGACAGAGATGTCTTTCTACAGTTTTTATTTGTTTTTGAATGTGTATGATGTTAAAAAGAAGTATATTAAAATAATATTGGTGATAGAATTCCATTATATTTCATTAACAGTCTAATAAAACGTAAGATTTAACAATCCATTATCATTGAGGCAATCGAGAAGATTATAACATTTGAATAGTTCTTTTACTAACAAGTAACAAGTATAGTTTCATGCTTAGTGGCAATTGCTGGAAGAGGTGACTACCAGATGATGGATTGTCAATAAACAGATATATTTATGATTCAAAAGATCGTTTTTTGTGGAACTTAATGACTGCCAGAGGATGGATTGTGGTATGTATTGATGTATAAGGACCTTCTGCCTTGTTCTTAAATATGATTTGTTTGCAAGCCCATTCCTTGAATCCTTTGCAACCAAATTACAATGGGGGACACCATAACAGAAGCAGGAAAAAAACTCTGCAGGATTCATGACAATATGGTGCAAGTTGCGGCAAAAATTGGACTATCAGATTGAAAATATCGAGTAACAATTTATTCGTATAATTGAGCACAATTTTTTATTACAGTACATGATAAATTTCTATCCATCTACTTGTACATAGATATACCTACACTACATTAGAATTGTCAGCATCAGAAAACTAAATTCAAAGATTGCCGATTTGAAACTAGAGTTTTTCTTATTCTGGTCATGTGGCATTATCCTTGACAACATCCTCATTTTGCACCTTATGAGTTCCTTGTCCATAGTCTCCTCCTTCTCAAGAGTGGCAGTTTTATACAGTCAAAACTCAGAAACTAGACCGTTCGTGCTACTTTCAGCATAAGAGAACTCTTATCTCCTTGATTCTTGTTCAAATATACAACACATACATCACCTGTATGCTTAGTTTCCAAATGAAAGCCAACACTATGTTCTCACTGATTAAACTTTGAATCCAATCAACAAAGTCTTTGTTTTTCAAATTCAGCATTCTTCTTTCACCTCATTTTGGGAGCCAGAAAAAAAATAATGGCTTTAAGCACCAGCAGTGATTGGGGGTCATCAACAGGCATCAATTTCTTGGGATCCCAGAAAACTTGTAAACTTGCTCCTGAAAGATGAATTGTGTTTTTCTTGATAAGAAAATAACAAAGAAGAAATGAGCAGAATAAAAAGACAAAACTGAAATTTCATCTGAGGGTCCTGAGTTGATGGCAGTTCATCACATTTTTGCACAAAACCGTCAAAAAGTCACCAGCTACACAGCTACTACAATAATGACACACTAGCATTTCGGAAAATCAAGTAGCAGATTAAAAAATTTCACATTATCATCAATTCTACAAAGGAGATTACAAGTAGATAGTGTGTTACTTAGCAACGTCATCGATTCATTACATGTTAAAGAATGACTCTGGTTTGTGAAGAAGAATACGTGTATAACAAAACAAATAGAGCATACAATGAGAAAAAGTTCTCAGAATGATCAATAATTTTTTTTCCTGGAACAACCAGTGTGGGAGGATAACAATTCAATTGAATATGAAACCCAATAAAGCATCAAAAATTGAAAATGCAATTAATAATTAGTACCAAATAGGAGAAATAAAAAAAGGGTAATTGCATCTCAGAAAGGCAGAAAGTAATCTTAAGCTCCTTGTTCGGATTCTCAGATAGATAAATTTTCAATTTCATGATCCAATGCAAAATAACACAAAATCAAAGTAAAAAAGACATAATAAAAGAACAAATTAGCAACATTTAAACGAGCACTGAGGAGATTCACATAAAGAAACTGCCTGATAAAAGGAGATGATTTTAGAAAGTTGGAACGAGTTCAAAAGGGAGAGGGCGGTAATCCCTAATTCCGTGATTATTAGGGAAACGACGTCGCTGGTTGATTTTTTCTTTTTCTTTTTGGGACTAGGTGAAAAAACTGGTTCATCAATAATAGTACTACCTTTACGGCTTTACCTCTGTTTCATAAAGATAGGTTTATTTGTATTTTCACACAAATTAAAAAAATATAATTAATACAGTTGGAAACATTGTTCTCTTCGTGTTTCAGTTTTGTGTTTTGATTTCATTTTGTATTTTGTGTTTTGAGTATATGTTTTGAAATTGTTGAAAATGCGTTCTTTTTGTCATTCTGAAAAACGGTTTCTCAAAACAGAAAAATGGAAAACGCGTTTTTTTTTTATTTTTTGAATTTTTTTTATAATGTTTTATTCAAGAAATCTGATTATTCAATAAATTTTAATAGTTTAATATTCATATAGTATTAAATAACATATAAAATTTGAAATTGGTGAATCTTAAAATATTTTTTTCCTGATATAAAAAACATAACGTAAATTAAATTAGTCAAAAAAGGTCAATCGATACAATTAGAAATGGGACGGATTATCTCTGTGCCAAATAGTCCGAAAACAGCAAAGAGAACAAAGCTTACTATTTTAAAATTCATTTTCAGTGGACAATGGTAGACAAACGAGGCATAATTTCACCTTTTGTGTTCATTTAGGATGTTTCAAGGTGATTTTTTGTTGTTTTTTTTTTGTCATGTCTTTGATTTTTATTTTTTGTGATATTCTTAGTTCTTACAACCATAAACTAGATATTTTCCTTATATTGGAAAGAAAAATGTTACTAAAAATATCCACACACAAATCCCTTCAAAATCAATCAAGTCCGATGAGTTTGGCCGGAAAGAAACTTTAAAACACAATCATGAGGAACAATCGAAAGCCATTAGAAATTTGAAGGTCACAAAATGAGTAAGAAAACTAAGACAATAAAGTAGAAAATCGCAAAGGAACTGTTTTGCATGAAGGGTAAAATAATAAGAAAGTTCAATCGTATTCCAAAAATTTATTGGAGTACATCAGATACCTAAGTTGGGAAGCAATGCTGTAACAAATGAATTTCCCAAGTATCAGTAGTCATACACGATGCTTGTCCTGTGATCCAGTGGCAAGACTTCCATAAGGTTTATCATCAAATACTAAATCATCAAATACTATGTCTCGATCGTCTTCTACTTGAGGGCGTGTCTGTGCGGGAGCTATATCGCTACAAAATTGAAGAGTTGATCACAATTGAATAAAATATAACCTGGCTCAACTTGTTGCCACCTTTTTCCTCACAATTCTCTTTCTCCGAGCCTTGGGGGGAGGGGCTTCACCATCGGTTGTAGAGTCACTTTGTCCTTGTTTAAGTCCAAGAAGACCGAGCCCAGAAACAATAGCGTTCTTGGATATGAACCACTTTGAAGCAGACTGATTGACTCCATCAGCTGGTCTATTGTAAGCCTTCTTCAAGAGATCGTCCGAATGAGCCAACGGATCAAGCTCCACCCTGAGCCAAGCCAACCTTGATGTCTCTCCTAGTTGAACATTCAATGTCCTGCATGCATTTGACATAGAATTTCTACTACGAGTTGCAACCGACAATTTATGTGCAAAATGCAATAGGAAAGACAGGTAGATTCTAAAATTATCAAAAGCATAGCTAATATATTTGATCTTCACCATTTAAATAAAGCATGCTATGAGAAAAGAACAGGTAAACCAACTAAATGAAATCACTGGTGAATGGTTTAAATGACAAAATGTTTCATCATGGAATGTGAAAAATCCTAAATGCAGCCTACACAGATCAAATACCAAGAAAACATACCTCAGGGCTGTGCTAAAGAAAAGAGTTACTCCAATAACATCAAAGTAGCTGATAACTGCTCTGTCAAAACTACACAATAGTTGCCATCCTTCCTTCCTTCAACTCGACAATAGTTGCCCATTCTCACATATTAAACAGGGCAGCTTGACAAAAAAATAAGAGAATGTCGAAATTTACTTTGAATGATCAAAAGCTAATTCATTTACTCGGCACAGTTACGATATTTCAGCTAAATATAGCACAGTAATATTATATGTTGATAGATAAATAGAACACAACGGTGGAATTAAATTTTTTAAGCATGTGATTGCTTGGCATGCATGTAATGTAAATAACAAGGTTGAAGACTACTCTCTCCTTCAGTTATTAAATACTTGGGTGCATCATTGTTTATTAAGCAAGCAAGCACAATTGTCCTAAGAAATATTAGAGACACAACTCTGGAATGAATAACTTGTCATTTCCTTTTGATGAGGCAACCAGACAAAGTCAACCAATAACTTAGGGGGTGTTTGTTTTTTATTCTCAAATTCTACAGTAAATCAATTCTCATTTTCAACCACACATTCTTCAATAAAATAATATTTTCCATCACATCAATAATTTTTTCTTCTTTTTCAACCACACATTTCCCATCATATCACTATTCAAAAATCAATTCTTCCCCCAAAAATCCCTACCAAACAAGCACTTAATAAGTTTTTACTAACAGCTTAGTAATGAAAAGTATTCAATGGAAACCCAGAAGTTTCTGCTCTTAGTTCGTTTCTTTTTGTGTCCCCCCACAAGTGCTTCCTTGATATAAGTTAAAACTTTTCAGATTCACCTGTGTGCTGTGCCCTCTAACTATAAGCATATAATTTCAGATTTTTGAGCAAGAAAATTAAGGTTAACAATGTCAATTCTGTCGATACGCCTTATGGATAGCTTGCCTTTAACAGACCGTACCAGTAAATAATCTGTAGGTGATTAGGAACTCTTTTTAATAGAAAATTCTGAAGAATTCTAAAGAATTGAACACTCAAACTCAAGTCACCTAAAACTACAGAAAAATTCAGTCATAAACCAACAAACCTAAGCCCACAATCAGTCAAAACAATAAAATCCTAATTATCCAATAGCCTCAGCCTGAACCCTTATATGCTTGTATTCTCCAAACAACAAAATACACAATTTTGTGGGAATTAAACCCCACAAAACGTTAGATCACATAACTAACAAATCCAATTACACCGCATAAAAGCCAAGAATTAACATAGACTTATAAAACATCAATTTCATAAATGTAATACCTTGAGCAGCACCCATCTCTTTCTCCACCTTGGCCTGCATTTCTCGAAGCTCGCGAACTTCTTCTTCAATCTCCTGCAAGCTCACTCGATTTTGGACAAAATTGCAGATGACCCATGGTGGTACTGGATGTGCTTGATTGAGAGGACTGGAGTGGTGGTGGTCCGCGATCAAGAAGGTGGTCGACGGCGGTGGAAATATGACGAAAATCGTGACTGGTAGTGCGGTTTTTGGGTGGTGATTGGGGCTGTTTTCGGTAACTCCGTGGCCAGGTGATGACAAAAGGTTGAAGATGGAAGTGAGGGGGTTCAAATGGTAGTGGGGTCCGATGGTCTCAGTGGCGGTCGGTGGTCGATTAATTAGGAAGAAGGCGGGGATTGCGGTTCTTGTGGCTTCCAATTACTTCTGGCTTTCTAATGAGAAAGATGGGCGTTTTCCGTGTTTTTAGAATTTTGTCGTGTTTTGCTTGAAAACACTCAAAAACGTCTACTTTGACATTTTGAGTTTTCAGGCTAAATTTTTTTTTTTTTGTTTTCAAAAATTCGTTTTTGAAAACGAGAACGCGTTTTAACTATTTTGAAAAATCAAAAACAGAAAATTGCCCCAAAGCAGCAAAGAGAACGGCCCCTAAATTTTTCTTACATTGTTCCTAACATATTCCTACATTAAATAATAGACTAATAGTTTAAATATGATTAGTTTTTTTTTGTTTTCAAAAATTCGTTTTTGAAAACGAGAGCGCGTTTTAACTATTTTGAAAAATCAAAAACAAAAAATTGCCCCAAAGCAGCAAAGAGAACGGCCCCTAAATTTTTCTTACATTGTTCCTAACATATTCCTACATTAAATAATAGACTAATAGTTTAAATATGATTAGTTTATATTGTTTAATAATAAGGAACATTAAATAGGGACATATTAAAAAATTAAGAGTGTGTTTTGAGCTACATTATTTTGAAAAAATGTATTTTGGAATAGTAGTTAGATGAAGAATGTGTGGTTGAAAAAGAAGGAAAAATTATTGATGTGATAAAAAATATTATTTTATTGAAGAATGTTTGGTTGAAAATGAGTAGAAGAATGAAAATGAAAATTTTAATGTGACTCAAATATGGGCTAAAGTATATTTATATTTTCAATAAGAAAAGTGATATATAATTTTGGAGAGGCAAGAAATGAATCAATGTCTATTTTTATGGGACGAAAATAGTAACTCAAAACTAGGGACGTTAATGGGTCGGGATGAGATCGGATGGTCATTATCATCCTTGCTCTGTCGAAAGTTTTTGAGAGACGAGATGAGGTGGGCAGTCCACAGATTAAAAAAGATATCTGTTTACCTCCCATTTATTATTTGAATTATTCCATTTGTGCAGATTTTTTTATTACAGAAAATATATACACTCAAAGTGGGTGGGCCCCACCGTGTATTTAAAAAAATGTGCGGGACCCATATGTTGTGTGTTCTGTAAAATTTCTGTTGGTTTTGCTTCTGTACATGAAGCCGTTATTATTTTTTTATTTATTTAAGCTATGTTTGGTACCAATTCTCATTTTCAACAGTAAATCAATTCTCATTTTCAACCACACATTCTTCAATAAAATAATATTTTCTATCACATCAATAATCTTATCTTCTTTTTCAACCACACATTTCCCATCATATCACTATTCAAAATCAATTCTTCCCCCAAAAAATCCCTACCAAACACACACT